TACTTTCTTTTTACAAGTGAAAACAGATTGGATAACTTGGGCAGAAAATAAGAAACAGATAAAGATTTTTAAGTGCTTAAAGAGAGGGGTAGTACAACTGAATTTAACAGTAATTTTGGAAAAGAGTAAATCACAAGCTCAGGTTTGAGGAAAAGCTAGAGAAGAGTGTAGTTCTGGGAGTATAGTCTCCCTGATAACACTAAGTTTTAAGGACTATAAGGACAGAATAAATAATCTTTCCTCAAATTCTGAGAACAAAGCTCTGAGCAATCAGTGAATTCTGAGAGTCGCAACAGGCCACTGCCCAGACGGCTAAAACGGAGAGCCTTCTAAGGACCAGAAGGTCAGAATACATTTCCAAAATCTGAAAGCCAAAAAGAAATTACTACGTTGAGATCAAATTCAAATATCAGAACCAGAAGCGGCCAACCCCTTCCAGCAAGTAGAGCCCATAAAACCTAAGGCATGCACAGATTCACACAGGCCCAGGGGAAGGATCGAAGGTTTATTTCCTTTAAGATCTGGAGCAAGGCAAGGATGCCCGCTCTCACCACTCCTACTCAATATAGTACTGAAAGTCCTAGCCAGAGCAATCAGGAAAAAGAAAGAAATAAATGCATCCAAACTGGAAAAGAGGAAGTCAAATTACCTCATACAATCAAAAGAACCCTTGGACCTCATCTAGGACTTAGGTGCAGCCCACCACCATGTTGTAAGGCTAGAAGACATCTTCTCTTCTTGGATGAGAACCAGACAGGACTGGCCATGAACATGAAAATATATATATATTCGTCTTTAAATACCACGCACATATCCCAAAGCACCAAGATATTCACATATGGAAGATACTCAAGAGCTGAGATAAAAGAGAGAGCTGATTTGCCACTCTCATCTCAAGTGGCTCCGGGCCATAGGCTCACTGAGTGGAAAGCGGGGAAACTGAGGCAAGACGGACTCCACCAGTCTCTCTCCCTTTCCCCTCCATCTGATCGTTGTGTTTCACTCCCTCTCCTGATGTCCCGCTCTGCCACTCTTATCTCTGGCCTTCTCTCTTGCTCTCTGGCTCCCTCCTGATGTGTTTATGTCTTTGTCTGCCTGTCTCTCCTCTCCCTTTTCTATCTTATCAACCACTGAATCATGTAAATTAAGGGAGCTGTGAAGCAACTACCCTATTACAAAACAAGGCAATCATTCTGACAAGGAAAACTAGAACCCAAGAAGGGGAAAGGGAAAAGCAGCCCTCACCAGTACCGAAACTACGCCTCTACTGGCAGATACTTGTTTTTAAAAATTTCCCAGTTAAACAGGACTGCTCTCCAATGGGTTAGCCTTTCCTCTTGAGTTTAATAAGGCAAGCCAATTTGCCAATCTGTATACAACTCACATGTGTAAAGTTTTCGTTCCTCTCAGTTAAATCTGTTTTTATACTACCAAATACAAGAATCCCCTTCAACACTGCACATGTAGAAACATCACAAACCATGTGAAGCAACTAATGGCACTGATTTTGACATCTCAACAAATCCTGGCCTAGCCCTGCCTGGCAGGTCACCCATCATGGATATCTGTCACACAGCAGGCACCTGACCTGCAGCTGTCCCGGCTTTGGCCACTTTGGGGATACCTGTGCCCACTCACAGACCCACGATGGTTCCAGTGCCAGCTGTACCCTCACGTTCCTGTTTGTGAGAATGTGGGTTTATAAGTTAATTTATCTGCATCAATCAATTCACAGATAACACTCAAAATTGCTACACATGGAGTTGAGAAAACACTGAAAAGTTTCAGCTCTGACTAGAGGTCAGAGAAGAGTCCCCTCATCCCTCCTCTCAGCCCTCTATCAAATACTCAATACACACACACACACACACACACACACACACACACCCTATTTCCTTCTCTTAGCAATCTCTGAACACCAAGATGGCCTCACAACAGTAAATGGAAAAAAAGAAAAACAGTGACAGAATCTGCAAAAGGAGTGGGGAAAATGCTCACAGCATAAACCAACTACACTCTCTCTCAAAATGTAGATATACGAAACAAGAATCAAAGAATACTGATTGATTCCATTCATTTGGCAAACATTTACTGAGTGAGTGTCTCCTGGGTATGAAACTCCCTTTCACCAAGACAATAACCCTGGCATCAGAAACTAGGGAGTCTCCATTATAAGTTTGCTCTCTGTCTGCCCCTCCCCCTCAACACCCACACATTTTCTTCCTGCTTCCATGACTTTTCTGGTGCTGGTAGCACCTGCCCTCCCAAATTCTCTTATGTAACGACATCACATTGTCCTGCTGCTTCCACCTGCTTGGCTGATCTTACCAAACTGACCAGGAAGTGGTCAAGCCCCATCTTGACCATGCAGACCCTTCACACCTGCCAGATTCAGCTTTCCAAGTCACAAAACTCCTTGGACACTCCTTCCTCAGCCTTTAAAAGAAAAATGCCCTCAATTTTCTAAGAGAAAATAAACTCAAGAATGACACACATCCCAAAGGTCACTTTCATCCATCCCTTCATGATGCAATATTATCTTCCCTCTAACATCACAATTACTGATGACTGGGGAGTTTAACCCAAAATTGCTTAATATTTTGATTGAAAGATCCTTGAAATGAAAGTCCTCTCAATAGTACCATGCTTTGCCTTTATAGGAACCAAACGTTTTCCTATTTAATATCCGTTCTTCTCAAACTGGATGTGAACATTCCCCAGGATAGGCCTGGGGCAGGCTGTCAACAGGGATAAGATGGAGTGCCAGGTGGGAAACAATGCCACAAGTTGGAATAGCACACAATCCTAGAAAGACAATTCTCCCTTCAGAAGAAACTCTATTTTATATTCAAACAACTTCCCAAATATTGTGTACTAAGATGAACAACTTAATGATTTTTTTTTTAAAGAAAAGCTCAAGACTTCAAAGAAAATTCTTGCTTGCAGCCATCTGTTGGGCTATGTGCACAATACATGGAGTTGCCTACAAGTAACCCTCTTGTCTTTAAATGTTCTTTGATGAAATCCTTGGAAAACTGTTTCACCCACACCATTAGCATCTTGAGGGCATAAACTACATATCATCCTTCTCTTTGTCCTCAGCAACCTAGTATCTGGCATATAACAGGCAACTGGTAATATTAGTGGAATAAGTTTGGCTGGAATAATGCCAACAGTATTATCAATAACAAAAGATGTTTTTAAATCACATTTGGATGGAATGAAGGAAAGGTGAACAGCTGTATGAGGAAGTGAAGTAGAATTAATCCAATTTACCAAAACAGCTGATGGCTGCCATGGCAACAATCTGATGCAGCAACTCAGTTTAGATCTCTTCCACTTGAACATGAGAGAAGACAAATATTGTTCTTGTTAGTATCACATCAAGAGGTGAGGCTTACTTAGGACACAAATCTACCACGTGACACCGGTGCCCACTAGAGGTAGCAATCTCTGAAGAGTTTGGAAAGGCAACGTGATAATAACAATGCCTCAATAACACCAAGTCCTGGTTAGTACACTGATCCAGGTCATTTCAATCATTTAAGGTTGTGTGTGAAACATATGTTGCTGAGATCAGACAACTGCAAAGAACAGATCCACATGTATGCATACATAACATCCAATATGATGTGGACTCACCCTGTCTCATTACTAAAATTCTTACTTTTTTTTTAACCAGCTGTACCCAGACTAAGTTACAGATGAAAGGCGACTAAAAGCAAGAGTATAGGTTGTAGGACTGTTTAGATTTTGCTGCTTCCCTGGTGGGAAGGTAACTCATTTGTAAATAATAGAAAAGATCGTTACACACCCACTTTACATAGTGAGTCACTCCCCATGCCCAGTATTCCCCTTACTTTCCATGCTGGTGGGAGAAATTGGGAGGAGGAGGAAGTGAGGACTTCCAGCCCTGCCAGTCTAAGCTGAGAAGCAATGAACAAGCACACTGACTACCTTCCAGGGATACGTCCTTTTCAGACTTTCCTCTCAGATGTGCAAACTGCTAACCAAAATGATGCCTTTCAGAGCGTCTTAATAACGACAGCTAGCACTCAATAAAATTTCAGCTAAAACCCAAACATAAAGCAGAAAAACACGTACAGCACTGAAATGTGTGTATCGCCGGGGAATTAAGTGAAAAATAGAAGCTGGAGGCGCGCAGACACCAAGGGATGGACAAATGCAAATGAAGCTCAAAAAAGAAAATCTGGGCCTCTCTCTCTCCAGGCCCTGAAATCCCACCTGCAGGCATCCCCTCACCTCCTGATAATTAAGTCAGTGACTTGATATGTTATTTCTGTCAGAGCAATAAGAGCAGAGAGTATATTCTGTCATTTTATCATTTTATTCTGTCCTATAAAAAAAGTGAGTTTTTCAGTTCACAGATGTGGGGTCAACATTCACATCTTGAACTGGGCAAGTCCCTTAAGGTCTAATTTCTAGGTCTAAGTTCAGAAATAAGCAAGCCTACCTTCTAGGGATGCTCTGAAAATTAAAGGTGTGAACTCTGTAAAACGCCTAGCAGGTGCATCAGTGAATATTTGTGTCCAACAATATAAATGCCCAAACAAAGCTTCCTTTTCTACAGTCTTAGGAAAACAACAAATCAGAAAACTACTACAGAGGACGCCAAACTGGCAAGCAGCCCGGGCCCCAGCCCTGGGGCCCGGGCCGAAGGCCTGGGGTAGAAGGTGACGTAACCCGGACACGGTGAAATGCGGGGCGTGCGCCTAAACCCCCTCGGGCCGCCAGCGGCTACAAATTTCAGAAGGGCTCGGTTAATTACAGGCTCAGGATTCAGCACTTAAAACTTTCGCCCCAAACACTGACTCTCTGATTACCTTTTCTTAACTCCTAAGTCTAGGAGATCTCCGAAAAGTCAAAGTGAGCACGTCACAGTGAAGAGTAGAGTGCATTGGGTCTACACACGCAATTAAGTGCGAGAAAGCAAGCAGGAAGCTCCAGGAGCACCTCCCGCCCCCAGCCCACACTCGCACCTGGGGATGAACTTAGCTTCCTCCCCGAGTCGCGCCTGGAAATCCTGCCAAGCCCGGCCGGGACTCTCCGGGCCCCACGAGGTGGCCCGCGCCGCCGCCGCGTCCTCGCCGCCCTCGTCCTCCTCGCTGTCCGGTGTCTCCGGCCCCGCCTCGGCCACGGCAGGCGCGGGATCCCGCGGACCCCAGCCCCGGCGCCGCCCCCCGCGGAGGGCCCCGCGGAAGCCGCGCGCGAACTCCTGGAAGGTGATGGCGCCGTCGCGGTCGGCGTCCAGCCGCTGGAATACGGCCTCGGCGTCGTCCGGCCGCACCCGCAGCTCCGCGCACAGCGCCCCGAACTCCTCGCGCTCCAGGCGTCCCGAGCGGTTCGCGTCGCAGGCGGCGAAGACCGAGCGCAGCCGGGCCAGCTCCTCTCGGTCCCCGTCCGCCTCCATCCCGCCTGGCGGGGGCGGCCGAGAGGGCTCCGGAGCGCCACGGGGCGCACGGCCCTCCCGGGAAGTCCGGGGCCACCTGCTGCCGCCCGGAGGCCCGGCGAGTTTGGCTCGTCCGGCTGGTTTGGCCACTTGAGGAAACGTCCGGGCGGGGCCGGAACGTCGGGGGTGGCCGGACGGCTCCTTCGATGCCGGTTCGCGCAGGGCCCGCGAGCCGTGAGGTGCGCTCAGGCTCCGGGCACCTCGAAGCAGCGCCTCCCGCGACTGTGCGCCCGCGCGCCGCGGCAGCCCTCGCTACTCTCCCGGCGGGTGCGGCCCCGCCCAGCCAGGGAGGAGGAGCGCGCGGCTCCGATTCTCTGGTCCCCACGCCCCGGAGCCCGCCGCCGCTTTCCGCGCAGGAAGGGGAGACCGGGCCGCCACGGGGGTGCGGCGGGAGCGTTGCTCTTCGGCATGGCGCTGCTCGGGTGGAGCCCAGCGCTCCGCTTCCGCACGCCGTGCGCCTGAGAAGGTAACCGGACAGAGGGAGGTAAGGGAGGGAGGGTCAGGATTCCGAATGGGTTAAGTGCGTTTTATTCTCTTACTCCCGAAAACTGGTAAACTTCTTTATATTCTAGTTTCTTACAAACCAAAGTACAAGATTTACCTGAAGACCCCATTCTCAATTTTACTGGCTTTTGTTAACGCATTTTTGTGCGTCTAACGTTAAGGTCCCACTGCTTAAACACAGATCTTCCAGATCTCCAGATCCACACATTTTTCTCAATCCTCGTCTCCTAAACCTGAGAAAAAGTAAACTAAATCGCTTGGCAGGCAGCATTGTGTAGGGAGACAAAGACTGAGGTGGCTTTGGAGGTTTTTTTCTTTAAACAAACTTTAGTTAAATTATGTATCCAAAGGTATGTTACCCTTTGGTTTTAAACACATTTTTTTTTTGACATTGTTTCTTTAACACTGACTGCATAATGGATAGGAGATTTTTAAGATCTATCCATTTTGATCCTTTTAAACATTTTGTCCATCCGTTTCCAGGAGACCCTCAGTCTGTCATATGGCTTATGTAACCGTGCCTTTAGGTAATTCTTACTCATGGCCTGTAAAGATACATTTGGGTCATTTTTACTTTATTCACATTATCCATTTCCTCTACATTTTAAACTTCCTGACTCTGTTTTCCTTTCATCTCATTCTGGATTCTATTTATCGTTTATTACTTTGATTTCATAAAAATATGATCATTAAGTAAGGGATATTACTGACACATTCTCCCAAGGCTACTGGTCTTAAACATAAAGCTAAGTGCTAAACATCTGAGGAACTGTTTCCTCTTGAATTGTACAATAAACATGATCAACGCTAACAGCTTCTATTAAACTGTAACTACTACTGATAACCCCCATCTGCAAATTTAACTGGTAAATTATGAGAGGCATTCCGTTGGAAGTCCTGGTCTTGGCAACCTAATTGGTAAGTGAATATAGTTTTATACTGTTGGACAGCTAATACATTGAAATGAATCTTATCATTAGTGCAATATAAGTTGTTATTGATTTTAAGCTTATGTGCTTTCCTATTTTAAAGATTGGTTTTTCCATACGAATTAAAAGGTGGCCAGCTTGATAATGTCTTTAAAACTTTACAAATATATTTATTAAACTAAATATTTGAACTATTATTATCTTTATACTGTTTGCAATTAATGAATATGACTTTCAAAACAGATGAGTTCTAATGTTTTAAACTGCTTAGGCAGAAGTGCTTTTTTAAAGAATGCTTGCACAACTTTATGCCTGAATTTTCACTCTGACCTTTGTGCTCATTATTTCTGAATTTTTATCTTCTATGACCTGCTTTGCCCTTTCACTAAGCCCCTTCATTGAAGAGTCATCAAGAAACACAAATTGGCTGGGTACAGCAGCTCATGCCTGTAATCCCAAGCACTTTGGGTGGATCACTTGAGGTCAGGAGTTCGAGACCAGCTTGGCCAACATGGTAAATCCCCATCTCTACTGAAAATACAAAAAATTAGCCAGGCATGGCGGGCCCCTGTAATCCCAGCTATTCGGGACACTGAGGCAGGAGAATCACTTGAACCCAGGAAACAAGAGGTTGCAGTGAGCCAAGATCACACCACTGCACTCCACCCTAGGTGACAGAGCCAGAGTACATCTCAAAAAACAAACAAAAAAGGAATTATTCCAAATGTCTTATGCATGCAGTTTCTTATTTCTACCAATATTAATATACTTCAGACCTATGGTATCAGTTTTTTATCACTGCATAACAACAATAGTGATTTTAAAGAGTTACCGTTTTATTTGTTCATAATACCATTATCGTCAATTTGGGCAGGGCTCAGTAGGTGGTTTGTCTGCTAGGTTGCCTGGGATCTCTTAGGTGATTTTTTTGTTGACTCAATTGGAGCTGGATGCTTATAAAGCCTCACTCATTTTTTTTGGAAGTTGGTGCTGGCTGTTGGCTGGGCCATGTGTCTTCAAGAAGCTAGCATGGGTTTTGTCACATGGTGGCAGTGTTTCAAGGGAGTTTAAGCACCAGTGTACAAGTATTCTTCAGGCTTCAGCTTGTGTCATGTTTGCTGATATTCCATTGACAAGTCTCACTGGCAAGTCACATGGCCAAGCCCTAAGTCATTATGTTAGGGGTCTACAAAAAAAAAAACAAAAAAAAAAACCAGGGATACAGAGAAACAGAGGCCCTTACTGTAACAATTGACCACGCCTAGGATACAGGGGCAGCCTCTGATATATTCTGCCAGGCTCTGGTCCTGCCGTCCTCCTGTTTATTCTACACAACCACAACTGGACAGTCCTTCTTAAACACCAGTTATTCTGTCATTCTCCAGCTCTTTAATTCTCAATCAGGTAACAATTTTGTTTCCCAGGGGACATTTGGCAGTCTGATGACATTTTTGGCTGTCTTAATTTGAGAAGGGGGAGATGCTCCTAGCATCTAGTAGGTAGCTAGAGAGATGCTGCTGACTATCCTACAATGCACAGGCCAGAGCCTCCCCTCCTTCCCATTACAAAGAATTATCTGGCCAAAAATGTCAATTCTGCTGAGGTTGAGGAAGCCTGTACCCTATCTCATAAACCCCCAGTGGTGCTCCAATAAAAAGAGAACTAAAGATAAACTCTTCATCTGAACATCCAAAACTCTCTGTAATTCGGTCCCACCACATAGATCAAATATTTCACCCTTTAGTCCCCATCAGGGCTTCTATTGTCCCCCAAATGAGCCAAACTTCATCACAGGATTAAGTTAATAGCTCCTCATTATCAGGACAAAATGTAAATATCAAGCAGATCTTTTAGCTTTTCTCTCTTCTGTCTAACCAGACCATTTCCCAGCTTAGTAAAAGAATTGGATCCTGCTTTTCTACAAAAGTTTACACAACTGCACTGTAACCTGCCACTCACAAATACATCACTTAGCATGTATGTCAGTTCAGGTATCGGGCAGCAGGAATGTTTTTTTAATAACCCCATACTCAGGGGATAGCCATGGTCATATAATCTGTCTCTAATTATTTTTAAGAAACAGAAGAGACAGAAAAAAGAAATAGGAGGTACTTCTTTTTTTATTTTAGCATTCAGAAGCAGCTAGCCAAGAACTGGAGATAACAGAGCAGCCATTGAGAGCCAATGAATTAGTGGGTAAGGAGAGCTTGCCCATGGTTGTCAGCATGACTTGAAAAGATCAGCTTCCTCTCTGGCTGCTCAGAATTTTAAGAATCAGAGATAATCTTGTTAGAACCTGTTTCTCAAAGCAGTGAAAAGATATCTTTGGAAAGAAATAGTTTTGTGATCAGTTACATTTGTAAAGCACAAATAAATTTCAGAAAGAATCCTATATTCTTTTGAAATAAAGCTGTTCGATCAAATATTTCCTAAATGTATTTGACTATGGTAACCTTGAGTTTTGGGTTTTGGTTTGGTTTGGTTTCAGTTTCCATGAGCTTTCCACAGACTTAGTACTCTTTAAAACATACTTTAGGAGACCTCATGTTAGACATTGACTAGGCTGGGGAGTCATGAGAAGTGGTCCCTTGCCACTACACCATAAATTGGCCCAACTTCCTATAATGGGAATGAGCAGCACCACTTTAACCTGCTTTTCATCTGGTAAGTGGGAAAAGCTTTTAGTGGAAGCCTATTGTAATCCACCCTGTAAGATTTCCTTCAGGTACAAGAACGTTCCTCAGAGCATGACTTAACACTGCAGTTACTTTGCCCCAGAAAGATCCAAGATGCCATTTAAAATGGAACTAGATACCTTAGTAATGGCATACTACTGAGGCACCAGCTAGGAGGTTCAGAAACACTCTGAAACATACATAGCCCTGTAAGAGCTTGAGTCTTAGTTTTCTCATGAATATATATACTCAGGACTTAACATTCCTAAGGAAGTTACAGGAAAATTGTTGGAGATTTTGCAAAAAGGAATGTGTCAGCAAACTTATATCATAGTGATCTACTTTCCCTTTATGTAAAGCATGAAAAAAGAGAAAGTAATAACTTATATATTCCTATCCATAATTAGCAAGTGTGAACATCCTGTCCTGTTTGCCTCAGATCTATTTTTTTTAAAGAAGGCATCAAAGACCCCGATGAACTTCCCCTTTGACTGCATATGGTTTCTGTAATTAATATTTAGCATTGTTGTCTATGTGTTGTGTTGGCAGTTATCAGATTTTGGTAAATCTTTCATTTAAAAAAATTATGTATCTCTGTAATGCTCCAAACAATATCAAATACCATTTCATGTCTTGAACCAGAGCAGAGTTGGCATTCATCATTAGAACTGAGCAAGAAGTGTTGCGTTTCCAACTTTGGATCCCATTTTGTGATGACTAAGCAAAACTTATGTCATTTTCCCACATGAGCAAACTCTGTGTCTCGTTCATCATGCTCCTCTCAGTTAAGACAAAAGTCTGTGTTTTTAATTTATTATTTATTTATTTATTTTTTGTGAGGCTGGAATGCAGTGGTGTGATTACAGCTCATTGCAGCCTCGACCTCCCCGGGCTCAGGTGATCCTCCCATCTTGGCCACTGGAGTCAATGGGACTACAGGCACACACCACTATGCCCAGCTAAATTTTCTTGTATTTTTTGTAGAGCTGGGGTTTCTCCATGTTGCCCAGGCTAGTCTCAAACTCCTGGGCTGGAGATCTGCCTGCCTCAGCCTTCTGAAGTGCTAAGATTACAGGCGTGAGCCACCATACCCAGCTCCTGTTTTATATTATATATACAAGAAGCAGAGAAATCAAATCTAAT